ATCGAAGAATCAGTTTCCGCCGATATTCGGGACACGAGCCATAAGGCAAACTAGGATGAAGTTATGTACTTGGGAACATCTCATCTATAAATGTTATTCCTGGTGTCTACGGAGTTCAAAAGTTCTTAGACCATCCTTAGTGATAATGATGGAGACGTACGAGTAATTTGTCTACATTGTAGGTCTATTCTAGGCAACACGGTATCTAGCTACGTAATTCTTAACACAGTGGCCCAACACGTACATCAGCGAGGTACTCGGTTACCAGTACCCTACGACTTTACCAGGCAATGTGTCCAGATGAAAAATGAATAACTTCGTTTGACATGTTGATCGTTTGTATGCTCAATAATGCTAGGTTTGAGTTAGAAGATGGCGAGTCTGAGACATGGTCCGCAACTACGTTACCCGACGAGCTCATGCGTTTCGTCAGTGCATATGTAACTGTCTCAGATACATCGGATCTCAGCGTTAGAGGAGTACCCATTGCGGGGTTCATCAAATACCTCACAGTGACCGGATGGTTGTAAAAGACCGTTATGTCCAGCCACTAATTCATAAAGAAAAAAAAGCCAGCAACTTAATTTCTACTGTGGCCCTTTCACTTTTTGCACTATTTGGTACATTATAGGAAAATAACTTAGTGTTTTATTTTATGATTTTGAGATTTGGTTTCAGTGTTGTACTTACCGTCGTATACGCGTTCTCGATCCGTTAGCATGCTGAAAAAATAATTGTGTTCTACTTAAACATGCAGCTCTATTCCAAGATCCCACAAAAAAGCATATCCCGTGCGAGCAAGAAGCTTGTAACACCCCAAAAGCAGTTGAAAAAGTCTAAACCATATTTCAACCTAATATGACTAATCTTCATTATAACAGCTCCAATAAAGAGAACAAACTGACACCGTGAGTCGAAAATTGTCCCTGATGAAGTATCTACCTTTGAAGTACAGACACTGGAGTTCTGGCTTTGAACTGGAAACTTTTCCACTGATGAACTGCTTCTGGGAGGCCAACATGGTGTAGGCTATCATTATGATAACGGTGAGCGACTGCCTCATTTGTGTGAGCATGGCTGCTTATTGGTTGCGAGCACTAACTTCCGACACAGCACCCGCCGGAGAGGGACGTGGCGCCCGCGAACCTCAGACCAACCATGGACCCAGATCGATCACATTGCGATCAGTTACCGCTGGAGCGCATGTGTGGACACTGATCACACATTTGTATGTGCTGATCTGCGGGTGCGCTTTGGCGGGCGCACTCCACCACCCTGTGAGGGCACAGACACCAACCAACTGGCGAAGCCAGATGTTATGAATACGTATCGAACTACGCTAACATTCAGGTTGTGTAAGTGCTCAATGGATACAGTTGAAGCTCGCTGGTCGCATGTTCATCAGGCCTTACTAGCAGCAGATAAACCATCATGTGGCAAATCCACTACACAAACTAGGTATTGGGTCCCTTCGCATTCTCTGGAAATTATCGATGTTCGCCGGCGCATTTCGGCTGGAAGCGAATGCAATGAGACTAGCAAGGAGCTATAGGCAAAACTTCATGCTAGCCGAAAGAGTGGTCGCGAATCCTGGTGGTCTCATCATGCATCAGAAATGAGGGTTGTCCTTGCCTTTGGTAACCGTCGGAAATTTTTTCGTCTGATACGGAAAACGCGCAACTGGAGGCATGGTTTCAGTGAAAATATATGTGACTAGAGTTGACGACCTATCCACAACTTGAAAAAAGTGAGTGGAGCGTTGGGCTGAGCACTTTGAAATGCAGTTTCATCGGTCGGAATTGGCAGATTCCTCACCGGCCAATGATGGACCTGCTACCTGGGATGTCCTTTGGATCCAACCTCTCGCTTAGAAGTCAAATATGAGATCAAACTGCTGCAGTTATATAAAGCCGCGGGACCGGATGACCTTCCTCAATCCCTGCTTTAATTTGGAGGATCTGCCGTATTGGAAGATTTACATATTAGTGACTTTATGGAAGCAATAGAATGTCTCGAGAACACGGAGTCGCGCCGCATTAGTTCCAAGTTACAAATGAGGCTTACCTTCCGAATTGACAAATCATAGATAAATCAGTCTGATCTACATTACCACGAAGTTACTTGCATCTGTTGTCCTCCATAGATTGAATGGCACTCGTGAAAGCCAGATGCGCGTGGAGCAAGCCGGCTTTAGTCGAAATCGAGGCTACATCGACAATCTCTTCACATAACCTTAGTTGTTGGAGCACCACTAGGTTTAGTCGTGACCCACCGTAGTCGTGTTCCTCGACATCAAAGATGCTTTCGATTCGGTGGATGAATATGCCCTTTGGGACGTTCTACTCAGGAAAGTTGTGCCCGAGAAATATGTAAACCTTTTCTGAAAGCTATAGGCACTTAGTTGGGGCAGAGTGAGGGCTTACGGCAAGCTGTCGCCGCCCATCATTATCTCCAGCGGTGTGCGACAAGGATGTCCGCTATCACCTTTGCTGTTCAAATTCGCTATTGAGGAAGTCATTGAGACTGCATCCACAGGATACTACTCAGCAGATGGTGGTCGCTCCCAGGCACACGACTTCTTGACTTGGAGTATGCTGACGACATTGCTCTTATCTGCGACAGCTAGCAAACGTGCCAACCAGCCCTAGACAGATTATCACTGGCTGTCATCCGTTTCGGACCATGCTTTGGTCCCTCGAATTGAGAAGATTTCCTCCAAGATTAGCAGGGATGGCCTCCTACACTGACCAAGATGGGGATCAGCTAGACATTGCCCAAAGCTTCAACTACGCCGGCAGTTGTATTAGACCTGTTGCAATTGAAGACGATCTAACAAACCGTATAGCGAAAGCTCGTGGTGCTTTTGCTAGCATTTGGCACCTATGGCGCGGGCGCGACATCACCCACTGCCTGACGGGTAGAGTGTATAACGCAGCCGTGCGTTTGACCCTGCTGTACGGTTGTGAATTTTGGCCCAGTAAATCGGCAGACATAAAGAGGCGAGTTAAATTCAACAACATGTGCCTTCGCCATTTGGTTCATTTCCGGTGGGAACACCGTGTGAGCCATGAGCGTGTTCGACGCCTCGTTTATGGCACAGGAAGAAGTGAAACTCTCGGCACCGTTATATCAAGCATCAGACTCCGATGGCTAGACCACATATTGCACGTGTCAATCCAGCGACTCGCGCGACGTGTGTCGTTTGCGCGTCCTGGCTGTGACTGGAAGTAGAGGAGCGGTGGCCAAATAATAACTTGGTCAAGAGGAATGAAGGCCCTTAGTTCTAATTAGGCCCCGGTTGGAGCATCTCGGCTCCCTGGATGAGGTCCGAAAAACGATGAACACCTTTACCTGGATACACTTGCTCACATGGCTAGGAGCCTACCTCAGTGGCGTTCGGGTTATGAGTTTCGCTGTCTCTCCCCCTACCTGTTAGCTTCTTTACAAGCACAATGTCATTTACTGGGCATAATTTAACTCGTTTTTTGCTGCATACTTGTCGGCTTTTAGCTTTGCGGAACGATGTCCATCTGTTATTGGTGACCCAGCCGGCGTGAATTTGTTGCCATTTTTTCTTTGCTTTTTTTGTATGGTGACACAACAGCTAAGGTGTTTTTCACCTCTAGCTAACGTGTAAGATTTTGATGTTGATGATCTATCTTTTTGTCCTACATTAAGGTTATCCTGTTGTTGTTTTGACGAAATTAACCTGTGTAACTTGATCATGCCGGAAATAGCTTATCTCTGAAAAATGTGAATACTAATACATTCAAACAAAAAAGCGAACTCTTGAAATAGAGCGCCAGCCAGCAGAGGAACCGCGTTGCGCCTACTGAGGACACGTAAAGTCCGTTACTTGCAGTGCCCTAAGTAGCCGCAACGCGTTCAAACTGACGGTTGACAAACTGTTTCATGAGTTCGGTTTTTCTTTGATCACAGTAGTATATACTGGTACAAATGGAAATATATTTAAATTGTTCAGCATTCGTCTTGCTGCATCACCATCAGTTTGCGGCGCAGCATATGTCAGCATGTGCGGTACATCTGTCGTTAAATCACATTAACTTATGCGTCATATGTTACACTTGCATAGTCGTGGACGATACCAAGGCGTTCACCAATACAAAATACCCAGTAACAGGCGAGGATTAGGATGGAATGTTTAAGTGTACACTAGATGACATGATGGATTATCAGCTGGCTAGCCAAACAACCTCCTCGTGATGTCTGCTGGGTGCTTCGGGTTTAACCCGTTCCAGCACATGGTTCGGAGGCAGTGTCCCAGAACGTGATGGGTTTTCACCCGACAAGCGTTCTACCCTTAAAGAGCCACAAATGTCTGTTTATGAACACTGTGACATGGCGGTTGTGACTCACTACAAACTAAACTCACTGCCCCGTAAATATCTAGATAATCCTTTCCAACTCACGGATATCAATCATCTATTCTCAAACTGCCGAAGTTATCAATCAGTCAAGAATACAGCGGTACACTTACAAGCATAAACTACGCAGCAACACACATACACAAGTACACAATTATACACGCCCCTGAACAAAGATTCACTGTAATGGCAAACACGTGTTTTTGTACAGGTTTGATCAAGTTTTGTTAGCTTAATATATTCACGCCTGTAAAGTCGTGCCTCGCGTTTTCTATACTAAAAATTTTATTGATTGATTTACTTAGCGTTTTTTTTCAAAATGTAATACTACAAAGATAAAATCTACGCTTTTTTACAAACCTGGATACAGATTAATTGCAGAAGGTCCTGGTTACTTTTTCTGGTTCCTTTTACTGCTATCACGATCCTTCGTAATGCTGAATTAGCTGAGTCTACCCGGTCTGATGCTACATCAAGTAGCAGAATCGAATCACTGAGCGATCGGGGTTGATTTATACATTCCTTTGCTAGTTTTTGCTTTGGACATTTCGTTCAATAGCATATGTCCAGAGAAGCCAAGTATCAGCCCACAACCAGGACAAAACAAGGACTCACATTCCACCGATACCCCAGCATAAATGGATCTGACGGGTTGTACGATTCGAGTGCAACACGCAGGTTCTCCACTACAGCATACGTATCGTCATCAGCTTTGAAGAAGTAATCATATTCGTTTGTCTGTCGATAAAGTTCCCGTAGTATGACTTTCATCTTTACCCACAGGTGTTGACGGATTTCAGGCTGCGTCAGATTCAGAACTGAAAATATAGACAATCAGCTGTTTATAGCACAAAAATAAGACAGAGTATGTATTACATAATATTTACCAGTTCATGGTTAATCGTACGAAGAACAGTGCCCAGCGGGCACCTTTATTAACTGCTGGCAAACTGGAAACATTAACCAGTCGCATAAAGCAAGGGGACACATAGGAATCGCTTGGTACAATTATTCCTTTGTGCCACTTATTATGAGAGGTAATCTGTCAGGAGTAACTTACCGTTAAAGTTCGCAAATATACACCCAGTCACACAGATAAAGTTCGAGTAAGTTACGCACAACCCGTAACCATTGTGGACAGTGATTTTTGTAAACAGGTAGCTTGATGTGGTTTCATAGTCATGATTATTGCTCCATTTGGGACAATGAAACTAAGGTCTACTACACGTAAAAGACAGTTGATTAACAATCACCATTGGATGGCTGTAATGAGAATCATATTATAAAAAAGAAAAACACGGTGCGAAAGTGTAAGACTTATTGGTGCATTCACTGTAGTTTATACGTCGAATCAAGCGTAAAAGTGTCTACATCACTTATGTCAATTAACTATGGCTGGTGCATTCTTTGCCTTGACATATCGTATCTCTATGTACACAGGATTTATTTAAGAAGCTTTTTGGGTTAACCAAAATCAAGCCTATTTTGAGCACAAATAAGCAGAGACGAAAACAACAAAGTTTGGAAGGACGTTCCAGTAGTGGAAAACACGAAGGGAGTGAAAGTTTCGCCGACATTCTAGCCGACTGTATTGCGTGGCCAACGTGAACAGCTGACCCCTCAAATTCGTGTTGTGACAGTTGCAGTAGGGTGGCGATGCACTTGCTTGCTATTCCTCAAAATCTGGTAGGCCATCATTAAGTTGCCACGTAGGCACCGATACTGACCGTTATACAATCTTAGGTTTCTCAGCCTAAGTTAATATAAAAGGTGAAACAACCTTTTAATGTGCTTGATGGCTCTTCACTGTGGAATGTCGAGTGCTGCGTGATCTTCCGTGTTCGCATTCCACATGAAGCCGTATGTGTGTGTTAAGCATCTGCGAGCAGACAAATGGATCCAACTGACCGAATGTCCTCCGCAGGATATCAAAGTGCTGGTTCCCCGTTATTGACGTTTTCTCAGAATACGTTAAACAACCCAATTCAGCTTGAATTAGTATACTTCGGTCGCATTCCTGAGCGACTGTTTGCATGTCCTGATCCCCAAGCCTGTAGATGATGTTCGCCCGATGATTAATATGGATAAGCTTACATTTGGAAGAAACAAACTACAGCAGGTTGTGGAATGACCAGTCATATGCACAGTGCAGGTCTCATTAAAGTGCATCGTGTTCTCATTGATTGGCCATCGGACTCTATACTTTAGCATCATCATCAGAGAAAAGCTGGAAATCGAGGGCGATAGGACGCGTACGCTCGTTAATGAACATGAGAAACAGACGCGGTACCAGCACTGGCCCATTTGGAACTCTGCATTCAACAAGATTCAAAGCAGACGTCGCACACCGCACCGTAACTTTCAGTTACCGAATCAATATTTTTTAGCTACAAAAATAGTTTAGGAATTCACGCATCATATCGAAACAACAGAAACCAACATACCACGGCGTAAAGCAGTTCGTTCAGTATAACAACTTGAAAACCACGGAAAATAGACGAAGGCTGGTAGGTGCTTACATTTCGTATTGTCTCGCCAGTGCCATTAAGAATATTCGATATGCAAGGATATAGCTAACCGTGGGTGCGACCAAACAAGCTTGAGGTGCAAAGTGAATGACGGTAGTTACAAATCAGCCTAAGGCTAACCAGTAATTGTTTTCAACTCACAGGGCTGGTTTTATCCGGCTTCATATGGCAGCCTCAGCAAACAGAAGGAATCGGGTCTTGGCATGACGTACTCTAACTTTGATAGTACATAGGTATATCCGCCCTACCTGTCTATACATGCTACGTCGTAAATAGCTGCTGTCAGTAGACGTTGTGTCTTTGCGGACCAACCCTATCCTCTGCAACCTTCATAACTTGCATGACTGTGGAGGATAAGACGCGCTATATCGCAGTTAGCGTGCAAATCATTACTGTCTGACACTGTCCGCTTCACTCAGTGCCATAAGTTGGTGACTGGGGGTGCAAGACGCTGGTGGCCGGGTCCGAATCTTGTTGGATCCGGTGTATGCGCACTACTGCCAATGCTTAACAGGCTGAAACAGCAGTCTAGTGCTTTTCCGGGCATGTGAAAGACTATCAGTATTGGAAGCTGGTACGGCGAACATTCAAGTAACAGTTAAGAGCGTTGGGCCCAACTCTGTACGGTGATCCATACAAGGGGGCGTTTGTCTATCCAGGAGGTCCAGATATTGGAGAGAGTCGTTCGGTTCCACTTCGAATGCACCCTGTAAGTTAGGATGTGCACGGTTGAGGCGATCTACTAGCTGTAGGACTTGCTCCCACAAACAAAAGCAGAAATAGCATCAACACAGCTTTGGTATTAGGGTACTTGGTCTGCGTCTGTTTAGACGTTTCTTCCCATCATCAGTATAATGAAATCAGCGAGTAAAGGACATATAGAGCTTTTCATTGCTACGCTATCGATTCGGAGGTACAGTATCTATGGGAAATGAAAGTCAACACAAGCTGTGAACAGTAGTAGGGATTTTCTTTGTAACTCAGGCGGAATTGGTTACGAACAGCCATAGTATTCAGACGGGGTACACGGTCTTCTTGACCTTGGCAGGCTCAAATAGGGGCTCCATGCAGTTTAGGGCGGGCGACGGCCCAGCCACCGTTTGTGCGCCTGAACCCGCACCTAGATGGACAAAAATGCAGCTGATGTGCAGGTTGCATGAGTGTTGGCCGCCTCGGTAGATAGCACCTGGCTCCCATATGCATGCCTCCCGGTCTTATTCCTTCTGGTCTACACTGGATATGGGGTGTGTGGATGGAGCTGTGGGTGGTGCAGTGCAAACCACTCATGATTCACGAATGGTCGTATTCGTTTACTTGAACTGCTGGTTTGGTCTACGTTTATTCTTATGCTAGACATTCCACATTTCCATCACTTTTAAATAATCGAGCAAAGCTAAGCTTCTCTTGGAACTATATTGTGAAATTGAAAAACTTTTCACTGCCATCTGAGTATGCTGTACATAATGATCAGACAAGTCATTTGGTCTGCGTCTCGCACCGTCGAGAAATATATTATTTATTTAGTTATTTATCTATTTATCTCTCTGTAAGCACTGGCGTCCTGTACGTGTCCTCATGGAGGTCAGAGTGACAGGAAAATCTGGAAGCGCCCGCCGCCAACCATGCTTGTACCCGGCTAATATCAGTCCATAGAAACCATTCATCACTGGTGTCATCATCAATTAAAACAAATTTGGGAGCTTCCGTCCTCAATAAATACGCTCTTTCCCGTACACTGATATTTCGTATTGGCCACTTTCTATCAAAATGATGCCGTTCAGGTTCCCTGATAGCTCTGTATTTTTTTTATTTACGAATACGCTGCAATGGAGCTACAGAAGAGCTGCACACTTCCAGTACAAATGGCTAAAGCTTGACAATTCCCGTAGGACGGCCTGGAAAAGCACCAACTTAACGGAAAAATGTTACAAATAAGATAGTTAGTGAATCTGTGGACTCAAATGATACTCCATGGAGCACAAAAGTAATCCGTCCACCTCGATTTCATGGGAGAGCTAATGAGCGCAGAGCCCGTTTGCTTTTTGTCATTTGTCCATCTACATATGCAATACTGGTGAAGTGCGTCCAGTTTTTCGCAAAAATGGATGTATAAGCGAGTAGATGTCAATTTAGAACAGCCTCCCACGTTTCACTAATTCACACAGGATGTGCCAGCGACATTTCAACCAGGTATTTTTCGCATCCGGCAGCAGTTGGCGACTCTTCAATTTGATGCTGTGACTGTTTCAGCCTGTGATAGCAAACGTGATCGCAGTATTTCAAGAGCTAGTAGCTCAAGATGAAGTCAATCAGCATGCCAGGATTTCTTAGCCCATACACTTACTGCTCTCAGTCTTCGGTTTAGGAAATGAAACAAGCCTTTGACATCCTTAGTTGCCTTTAGCTGTGGGTTATCGGATGCAGTTTCAATACGCATCTGCTAAGATCCCAGTCATGTATAATATACTCTGTGTCTGAGGTTTAATGAGTGTGTTTGGCGTTTGCTATAATATAGAGGCGTCTAACCTCCCGAATCGATTCGTTGGCTCTGGATTGTCAACAACTCCACGGCTTGTTTAGAATGGCCCAAGATATCCTGAATCACTACCCCTAGTTCACGTTTCCGCTGAACGATCTGCAAAACGTGGTTTTCTGGCACATATATACTACTTGTCCTTTGATTCTTCTGGACCGCCTTGAATTTAAAGGCCTTAGACGTGGGTGCATTCAATGGATTAATGGATCCGTGGATTTATCAGGGGTAAAAAATGCAAAGCTTGACAATTCCTGCAGGTAAAGATTGGAAACCGGTTGTGAACATACCAACAAAAACAATAGTAATGCATATCAAAAGAGGCCCAAAAATTTGGTTTTCTCACGAGGTGTCTCCGTAACTTTTGCTAAGTCTTGTAGTGCATGTGGTGTAGTGTTTCATCAAGTTAAGATTCGAATTTAGTCCATGTAGATACGGTGATTACGGAAATTGGGCGAACGTTCCACCACTGTGACACACAACTTGAGAAGAAATACTGGTTGTACTGTGTGGCTAGATTCAAGTGATTACCTCGAAGTGAGATGTGACTTAATTTCAGTGAGCATCGATATGCGTTGTTTGGAACCTTTAGGATCTAAAAATCCGAGATTTGAGCACCGGCCAGGCGACGGTATTTAGCACCTAAAACTCTTAGGGTCTGTAGTCTATGCTGGTAATGGAGATGAGTCAGGTACTTAACATTTATACTCGCTCGTCTTTGTGGAGTATCAGAAGCAGCAAGATCATGGTTTTGTCA